AAAGCATTAGGCCCAATACACACAAGGATTATAAAAGTAGCGTCATCAGAACGTTGCATTTTACACAGCAACCAGGCCTGTTTAGTCACCTCAGCAATCATAGTCTGCACTCTCTGTGTCTGCTTGGTTTCCGGTTGACCTGAGTCTCCTCACTTTGACACACAAGCATTTTAAGGGTATAGGTTAAGACATTACAAAAATCAAGCTGATTAAACAATCTTTTAAAGCAGATTTGCAAATACATAACATAGCACTATATTATTTTATCAAGAATTTCTTTCTACAACCACTAATGGTGAGTTAAATACATTTGAACATACTATTTCTGTTGCACCGGGAGGGAATTACCATTAGCTAACTTTACTAGCTAGCCATCATTTAAGCTGCTTTTTTAAGCTGCAAATACCCCTACTGAATATGTTTGTGGATGGGTCAGGTGAGCGAATCTAACACACCCTCCCTGTAACATTCTTCCGTGACATGCGCTCTGCGCAGTTGGCGAGAGTTCGTTTGGACAGTTTGCAGCAGACAAAGTTGTGCGTGATTGAACATGTAAGTTTGTCTTTTTTGACTGTTGCTGTTGTGTTAATGATGTATGCATATATAACAGAACGTTATGTTGCATTATTTAATCACCTGTAATGTCGTAGTTTGTTTTGTAATGTGGACATATCACACGAGTTTACCATATTGTGGGCAAGAGCGTTTGCCTGACGTTTTATTTCTGTCTGTTATACAGAAACCACAACAATTGTCTGTGTCTTCATTTTGAATAAATCTGCAAAACTGAAATCCTGTTGCTGCAGTCTTTCTAACAGAAGATTTCGGCCAAACCTGTATACACCAGCATCATTCATAATATATATATACAGTATTTCACACTCTTATTTCAGGTTTCCACACTACCAGCTAACACACATGGGCTCCCAGGCACAGCCACTGCTAGCCTAACCACATCGCTGAGATCAGTAAGTAATGATTTTGGTTATGTTATGGTGACAAAAAAGCTGAACAAAAACCATCCAACCAATGTGTCCTGTTAGTTCTGCGCTCATGTCAGATTGTGATGGAGCCATGGATCAACTTTTTCAGAGACAGAAGAGTTATAGCTCTCTTTTGTCCACATTATGCATGATATTGTGCTTTGGTTTAATTACCAAGCCATGACACCATATTTTATCCTTGTCTTTCCCAAACTACATTACACACTGAAACAAGACTTGCTTTATGAACACTGGTTAAGTGAGTTTATGTTTATGTTAAACTTTGGTCATAGTGGGCTGATGTAGTTTGTAATATGAAACATATTAACTAGGAAGTGTCTGAACATTACATGACAGCCACAATGCATGTAAGCAGTTCATTACACTGATTAGAGTCACTACAAGTAAGAAACATATTCTCTGTGCTTGTTTTCAATACAGGTGCCTCTGCCATCCATCCCTGGACGTCTCATGGCTCGATCCAGACACATAAACAGAAGACATGTCAAAACATACACTAAGGAAGTTGTGTGTTTGCCTTTTTCACTGGAGTCATCTGTCTTTGTTATTCCCAGAGGGGAAAGTCGGACCAGATTAGCTCAAGCTGGCCTTATTGGAAAAATTTCTTTTCCTCTGAATGGACTGAAGACCAACTAAGAAATGAAATAACAGCTATTTTCAGACATGCATTCGGCTTATCAGAACGCCAGTTATTACCATTTCGGTTTTTGAGCACCATCAAGGGGTGTAAAAAACTGATGAAACCACAGGTCACCTCCAATTTTCCCTGGGGTGGTAAAGAAGTTGCCTCCATGTGTTCCAACTATTGTATGTACATCATGGCAGAAATGCAAGTTCCATCACAGGTGAGCATGCTTTTGCATTAATGTTGCAGATTAGAAGTTGTTGGCTTAACTAAAAATAATTATCACTACATAGTCTTCCTCTCTGCAATCAATAAGCCAAAATAATTTGTTATAAAATCACTAATATGTATGGTAAGTTAAGGTTTGTAAGGTAATTTTGGTTGCACTTTAATTATGTGCCAATGCACTAAAATATAAGTGTTAAACATACCCATGCAGTTAGTGCAAAAAGTTAATCTGGAGCCCATAGCTCAACCAAAAGACCACTTCTGAACACAGGATATAAACTATAACCTTTAACAATTACCCTCCATTGCTTTATTCTTGATAAGTTGCCTATTATGTACTTCCTACCCTTTTTATACAGAATTTGCTTGTGGAACTCTCTGATGACAGTGATTTTGAAATCCAAGCACCACAACTAAGGAGAGGTGGGTAAAAAGGAAAGAAATGTCTCTCTGTATAAACATTGCAAATACCAGGCCATCTAGGTTAGATCATTAGATCAGGTTAGAACTCAGTTGTATTCATGTTGTTAACAATTAATTAACCAATTTTCTTTATATAGCAAGACAGAGAAATGCCTCATCCATATCCCAGAGGGAACAATGTGAAAGGCAGCAGGGTGAAGAAGCCAGTCCTCCAGATGACATTGGGATGGAATTACATGAACAAGGAACAAATGAAGCTGCTACTCACTTCACAGATTTTATGTAGGATTGTGTTTATTCAGTTTTTCGTTTTTCCCTTTTCCTTTGATATTTCAGCTCCCATTTTATGGCAGAGAATTTATCTTTTATCTTGCATATTTTTAGTCCTATTTATGTTGATGAAGAAGAAGCCATTGCGGAAGCCATCAGACAAAGTCTTTCAGAAGAGGCAGGATCTTCATCCTTGCATGATTCAAGGTAATTTTACATGGCATATACAGTATACAGTAGACATAAACTGATCAGGCATAACATTATGACTGCCAACTGTCCCATATTAGCGAGACGTCCCGTATTTTGGACCTAATTGGTTTCTCCCATATGGGACCACCCTTATCCCGTTTTTTGACTGTTGCGTTGATCTAGCCACTGAGTGATATACAGCAACAGCAACACTGATTACTACACTTGAGAATGATCACCTCACTTGTCATCATCCAATCACAGCCCCCCTCACGCATCAGAGTATATTGGGAAAATGCGGCAATTACTCCAGGAAAAAAGAAAGAAGAACAATGTGTGACCCTCTTCGCATTCATGTAATTACTGTCTCCAGATGTTTGTGTAGTGGGACACAGAATGAAGTCGCTGAGGCTCAATCTGGTGCTACACATTTAATAAAAGGTTGCCTGCAAATACAAAATAATACACTTTATAAGTGTCGTTCTCTGTAGCTACACAGCATTTGGAGCCGCTTGTCCAACATAACCTCAAGTCTCATTTCCTGCTTGGAGTCACGCGACACCATCTCCACCAGTTTGCTTTTTGCAGTGTGCTACTGGCAATATCTCAAACCTGCAGTACAACCTGAAACTGATCTTATTCTAACTTTCTAACTGATAATGGTGCCAAATTTATATAACCAAACATTCCTACAACAGATAACTTGGGTCAAATGAATTACTGAACATATGTCCACGGGGAACATGGTTCATTTGTTAAAAAAGTTTGAAATATCCAATAAATTTCGTTCCACTTCATGATTGTGTCCCACTTGTTGTTGATTCTTCACAAAAAATTACAGTTTTATATCTTTATGTTTGAAGCCTGAAATGTGGCAAAAGGTCGCAAAGTTCAAGGGGGCCGAATACTTTCGCAAGGCACTGTATGTGTACAAATATATAAATTACGTGAATTTGATGAATCTGAAATGAAAAACTAAAATCTAAAATATTTTTAACAATAAACAATACCAAATAATATTATTCAAGTTTTATGTAACATTCAATAACAGTTTTATGTAACACTCAAACTTTTTAACTTGCTGTGCAAAACAATGCAAAACGGTGCAAAAACAGCAATAGAACTTCCAAACAAACTGTAAACAACATAGCCTAGGTAGCTAGCAGTGCTACACAAATTTTAATGCAACTATGCAAAATTGGACTGCTGTTTAGTTCAACAAACGTGGCAGGTTTTTCTTTAGGAACAAAAGTTGCTCCGCTTTTTGGCTGGAGAGACGGGTCCTCTTCTCATTAAGCACATGAGATGCTGCACTGAAGAGTCTCTCACTGTCTGTGTTGGTGCTTGGGGCAGATAAATACCTGCGTGCAACCCGTGCAAGTAATGGAAAGCGCTCTTTGCTGGAGCGCCAGTAGTCGAGTGGATTGTCGCTTATGGCAATGGGTCGTTCACCTAGGTAAGTGTCCTGTTGTAAGGCTGCGCTTGTTCCACCGCTGCGGATCGGGGCGCTTTTCTGTAGAATTTCGTCAAACATCTCGGAAAGTGAGGGAGTGTACGCCTCGGGGCGGGGCGGGGCATTTTTGGCGTGTTTTTTTATTTCGGCCCGAAATAAAAATGGCCTTTTCGGCCGAAAATTTTCGGTGGCCGAAATTTCGGTGCACCCCTACTATTATGACCTAATGGTTATGTCTGTTATTTCATAATCTTATGCCTGATCGGTATAGTATTTGTAGTGTACCTCAGTTGGACATCAGTTTGATTTTGGTGTGTTTGCTTCTGATCACTTATCTTGAAGATTTGCAAGAACCCTGTCCAAAGAAGAAATAACTGGAATTGTAAAAGCACACAGTGAGAGGGTTGTCACAGCAGCGTACAAGCCGATCTACATCAGTCGCAGGAATTTGTGGTCAACTGCCCTCTGTTAGTTCAGCAGAAAGAGAGCACCGACACACTGTACATGACCTTTGCCAGCGATGAAGACACCACAGAAGAAGCAGAAGACCTTGGAGGGCCCAGGAGGGAATTATTTCGTCTACTTGTAAAAGCTATCTACAAAGACAGTGGAGCTTTTGAAGGTGTTTTTTTTTCATGCTGCAAGTGTAAACATATGCACATAAATCAAAGTGTATGAAAAAATTTACGTTAATTAAATAGGTTACAATTATGAGACCACAATTAATAGGAGGTACTTTACCTTCACATATGCAGTACATCCCAGAAAACCACTATTACTATTTTTACCACATTATCTAATACAGCTCAAAGTTATTTGTTTTCTTTAAAATGTTTTTATACAGTATTTTCAAGTATAATATTTTTTGTATTAAATGTACTGCACAATGTTATTGTCCTTTTCTTCTAGAGTCTTCAAATGGCTTCATTCCAAGAATGAACATTTCTCATGTGCAAAATGGACTGTATCGCACTATTGGACAGATGATGGCTACTATCATGGTCCAGGGTGGTGAACCTCCAGCTCTTCTTTCCCCTCTTGTGGTGAATTACCTCCTGACAGGGCACTTTCAGGTTAATGTGACTCCAGAAGATGTAGCTGACATGGAGCTGAGAGAAGTCCTCAAGAAGGTATATTTTTAAGTTCTTTAGTGTCCCCAGCCAAATGATGGTCTTACTCTTTTGCACTGATGGTTCATTGATAATTTATTTGTTCCTTGAACACTTCTTGAACTCATTGTAAGAGCTATGAAATAAAGCAACTAATTAGCACCTACAGTTACACACAAATATCTTATAAAATACCTTTAAACTGAATATACTGAAGGAGTAAAGCAAAAAACAGATTAAAGCGTTAAACATAAGATCGCATAAGAGTAAGTTGCAGTACATTTAGGCTAACATTAGCTCCATTATATATTCCCATTTATACCCTGTTTATCAGTCCAGTTTTTTTTTAAAGTTAATCACACATTTGTAAACAAATTAAACTCTGGACCCCGGAGACTGAGGGCATCCCTGGATAAACAGTCAGGTACGCCACATGCTGCGTGCTCGCTCTCATGCATTCAGATCAGATGATGAGACGGAGTACAAAGCTACTAAGTACAGACTGAGGAAAGCCATCACAGCGGCCAAGAGGCACTACAGAGAGAAGCTGAATGGCTTCTATTCTACTGCTGACTCCGGACAAATGTGGCAAGGCCTGCAGCACATCACAGACTACAGGACCACCACCAGCATCATCAGCTCCACAGAAAGCCTGCCAGATGACCTCAACACCTTGTACACCCACTTTGAGACCTCCAGCCACAGCACAGAGAGGAGGCACACACACACAGAGACCACCCAACCTCCCACCTTCCCTCCACTAACTGTCTCACCAGGCCAGGTACGCACAGTCCTGAGGAAGATCGACCCCCGCAAAGCAGCAGGACTGGACAACATCCCTGGGAGGGCTCTCAGGGCATGTGCCAGTGAGCTGGCTGATGTTCTCACCACCATCTTCAACCTGTCCCTCAGCCAGAGCATCGTTTCCACCTACTTTAAGACCACAACCATCGTCCCCCTTCCCAAGAAGAGCCCAGTCACCTGCCTGAACAACTACTAATCAGTTTGTGATGTCCATCTGTGTGCCATACATAGTTTGGAAAAGGCACAGTGTATTGTTGCGGTTCTCCTGGACTCAACACCAGCAGCATCAACCCTTTTTACAGACTGTCTGAATCAACCTCTCTGCACAACGTTTTTAGAACGCAAATGTCCAATCAGCATAACTTCTCCTGCATTAGAATGTTCTGATTTGATTTCATTGATGGTTGCATCCAGTTCTTCATCAGAAATGTTGCAAAATTTTGTGTGCCTTATATTGTATTCCCGCATGAGATTGTATAATGTGGGCCGGGAGATCTGCAGAACTTCAGCCACTTTAGTAAGCGTTCCAAGCACCAGCAAACTCTGTGTCCTCTCTGGAGATGGAAGTATGTTCATGCTGTAGAGGGAGAAAGAAAAAAGGGCACTCACTGGTAGGTTGCTACTGTCATAATTCATTTTTCCATGCACACACAATATGATTTCCTAGTTAATGTTTCATATTACAAACTACATCAGCCCACTATGACCAAAGCTTAACATAAACATAAACTCACTTAACCAGTGTTCATAAAGTCTTGTTTCAGTGTGTAATGCAATTTGGGAAAGGCAAGGATAAAATATGGTGTCATGGCTTGGTAATTAAACCAAAGCACAATATCATGCATAATATGGACAAAGGAGAGCTATAATTCTTCTGTCTCTGAAAAAGTTGAAACCATGGCTCCATCACAATCTGACATGAGCACTGAACTAACAGGACACTCTTGTTTTTGTATTCAAGAGGCGTGCAATGCGTATCGAACAGACGTCAACTTTATTTCGTACTCCCCGAATCATATGTACAGCGTATCAACCATTTCTACATCTCACTCCCCGCTCTCCACACTTCCTGTCGTAAATCACTGTTGTAACCCTCTGGGTTTACGTGAACATTACATCCCCTTTCTTTTGAAATAAAACCAATCAAGAACATATGCATTTAGAGCATCATATAAACATATATGTAAGCTCTAATGTAGAAACTTGCTATGGCACTTTGGAATGAAGTTGGTAACATAACCGTGCATAACACAATATTTCCTCAAGTCTTCCATACCAGCATATACAGTATTTTCTCTGAGGGGCAGCGATCCACCTACACCCCAGATGACATACAAATTATAAATCAAGAATTGTTCTAGGTCGTACTGCTCGACCTGATCTGGTATGATATGATGTGGGCTGCGTCATCCTGCCTGCTGTAGGTTGTGATGGTACTTTACTTGGTGTGTGGTAAAACCATAGTTGTTGGTGTCTTCATCCTTACTATTCACAGGCTTGTCTGTGGTGATTTCCTCAGTCTCCACTTTCGTGCTGAGGAGGTGTCTGCGGTTTCTTCGATACACCTGACCATCCGAAGTACGCAAACTTTGAAACTTAAAGAGGCTAATTTGAAATTTTTTTGTTCAAGAGTCAATGTTTAATACTTGAGTCCAGGACTCAGGTTGACTGGAGTCCAGGTTTTTAGGATTCATGATTCAATCAATCAATCAAATTTTATTTGTATAGCGCCAAATCACAACAAAAGTCATCTCAGGACACTTTACAAAGTAGGGTCTAGACCTTACAGTTATCACTATTATTACATAGGGAAAACCCAACAAATCCCCCTTGAGCAAGCACTTGGTGACAGTGGGGAGGATTCAACATGGACTTGAGCATTGATGAATTTGACTTAGACTCAAGCACTGTATGTATTTGGTTGAGCACTGTGCTGTATCGAGCACACTTCCATCAACGCCTACACTCCACCTTTTTATAAATTATTTTTATGTATCAAATTACCGAGCAATATCAAATCAAATCAAATTTTATTTGTATAGCGCCAAATCACAACAAAAGTCATCTCAGGACACTTTATAAAGTAAGGTCTAGACCTTATCTGTTATCAATATTATTACATAGGGAAAACCCAACAAATCCCCCTTGAGCAAGCACTTGGTGACAGTGGGGAGAAAAAAACTCCCTTTAACGGAAGAAATCTTCGACAGACCCCGACTCTTGGTGGGCGGCCTTCTGCCTCGACTGGTTGGGGGGAGTGGATAGAGGAGAGAGCAAAGAAGAAAAGCAACAAGACACAACAAACAAACAACCCAATGTACAGTAACATACGTGGTGCATACAGGGCTGCACCCCGCCCCCAGGCTGGACGCTCGGACCACATTTCTTTGTTCCTGTATCCAGCTTATAGACAAAGACTGAAACAAACAAACCCTGTCACCAAACAAATTAAACTCTGGACCCCAGAGGCTGAAGGCATCCTGCAGGACTGTTTCGCCCAGACAGACTGGGATTTGTTTAAAGCTGCAGCCACCTCAGAGGACCTTTCTGTCAGTATACAGGACTATGCTGAGTATGTGACCGGGTACATTAGTACCTGTATTGACAACATTGTGCCCACCATACAAGTCAGTAGGTTCCCCAACCAGAAGCCCTGGATAAACAGTCAGGTACGCCACATGCTGCGTGCTCGCTCTCATGCATTCAGATCAGGCAATGAGATGGAGTACAAAGCTACGAAGTACAGACTGGGGAAATCCATCACAGCGGCCAAGAGGCAGTACAGAGAGAAGCTGAATGGCTTCTATTCTACTGCTGACTCCGGACGGATGTGGCAAGGCCTGCAGCACATCACAGACTACAGGACCACCACCAGCATCATCAGCTCCACAGACAGCCTG